GAGAGGCAAGACTCCTCCACCAGACTGTGTAAACTGAGAAAACTCTAAATTGTTCTTCTGGCTTCATTTATCCAAATATAGCATTGCCATCATACTGGTGTTATTCTGACAGGTTAATGAGTGTATTTCATCAGTATTACAAGCAAGCTTTGAGCACACAAGAGAGTGATTTAGATGTTCTAGAGAAGAAAAGGCATCCTTTTACAACTACTCTTCATTTTTCCAATACTTTGCCTTTCTCCCATAACTTATTCTCATGGGATGCTCCAAAAATCTCAGCTTCATTATACAAAGTTATAGTTTTCAAGTTTCTTGCAAAATATCTCAGTTAATTAAGAAAAAATAGCTTAGTTTCTCTTCAGTTCATGTGTTACTAAATGTCCCCCTCCATGGGGGCGGGGGAGGAATGGAGCACAAGGAATGGAACAAAGTCTGGAACAAGCAGAAAAACAAGTTACCATAGAAGAGCTACCAACAATTACTCACTAAATACAACAAATTATTGTATATCTGGAAATTAAATGTACTTCATTTTGTTGTCACTGAGTATTTTACAAGCGTGGGTGACAGAAGCACAGAGCAGAATACAAATGTGCTACAAATGCCTCTTGCAGTATGTGTGTTTCCACTGAAGTTGGATTTTTTTTTCTCCTGCTCTCCTTTTGACAGATTTAAACTGATGGATGATAAAGCAGGATTCTGAACTAACTGGAGCCTCAGTTAAGCAGCAAAAAGCAGCAGAAGAAACATCTGGAAACATGGAAATTTCACACTGCAATCTCATGCTCCTGTTTGAGTTACTCAACAGAGCAGCACTTCTAAGAGGGTCCAACCCTAAGCCTCTGTAGAGCTCTGACAACCTCTAAGAGGCATTCAGGTCCACTCACATGAGACTCTGCCAGGGCCAACCTGGCATGAGATTCAGACATGTTCTGGAGACTTATACATCATCTGTCTTCAGACAGGAATGAAGCTTGATTTTGCAGCTGTACAGAGTTCAAAATAATTTCCACCTTCTGAGATTTTAACAGTGGACTTCGAGCTATTAAGAGAGTAGGTGTCTCACTGGCATTTGTCATGATTTCTGTAAAACCTCTTTGTCTTCAATGGCCATTCTTAACCAGCCATTAGTGATCAATGTTGCTCCTCCATTGAATAACTTTTCTGAGCAAAGGATCAGCTTTCCACTTGCTAGAGTACAGCAAAGAGAAAATAAAGTCAAAAAGGCATGTACTGTTAAGGCTATTTAAACAATGGCTTGAAGGAGTAGAGGATGTGTGGCAGTGTGGCACACTGTATGGTCATGAATAACACTGACACCCACAAAACAAGAAAAGCAGAAGTCCTACTTCAAAAGGAAAGGACAGCCAAGCCCCATAGCTAACTTTAAACCTCTATCTAGCAGACACACTTCTGTTATTTGACAATGAGTGGCATGACTTTACAGTTTATGCTGGTCCTCAGATCCCTAGAGGAGATGTTAAATCAATGATCAGCATGTTTCTGCAGATGGATCTGTCTTGAAGCCAATTCTCATTCTGGTTAAGATACGAGAATAACACAGCACAAATCATTCAGGAAAATGGATCAAAACACTGTCTTATACATATAAGCCCATTCTGCCCCCACTCCTCTACCTGTGGCCACCCCATTTTGACTAATTAAGTCCTTGATCAATCCTGTACAACTTTCACTATAACCAGAAAGTATGGCAGCTCCACAACACATTCCACATGAAGCTCCACTCTTTTGAAACAAAATATAGAAAACTCACTTGGGTAAGGAAAGTTATCTTGTACTTCAAGAGGTTGGACAACATTGATCCTTTTGCTTATTAGGGAAAAATGTAGTGCAACAAGTCAATGATAGGAATGATGCTACCCTCCATTCCCTAGGACTGTGTAGAATTGCCCCATCACTATTGCATATGATTCACAGAATCATAGGGTTGAAAGGAACCTTTAAACACCATCTACTTGCAATCCCCCTGCCATGAGAAGGGACACCTTCATCTAGACCAGATTGCTCAGTGGCCTTGAACACTTCTAGTTATGAGAAATCCATAACTCTGGACAACGTCTTCCAGTGCCTCCCCACCCTCAGAGTAAAGGTTTTTTCTTCTAAAATCTAACTAAACTACCTTGTTTCAGTTTAAAGCCATTCCCCCCTATCCTGTCACTACATGCTTTTGTGAAGACATCTAATTGTTTACAACACAGACCAGCTATTCAGCTCTGTTTTGACAGGTACAGGCTACCAATAAAGCACTTTTGCAAAAAGGGAGAAAACAGACGAATGCTGACCCCATATCTAACAACCCAGATAATGATTATACAGAGTAGATAGTTGAAGTCAAATTCTGTAGCCTCTCCTTTTCAGCCCCGTGACCATCCAATAGACGTTGATGGTAGCACAATTTTTACAAAAGCATGAGATTTTCAAAATAAGGACATGCATTGTGAACAACAATGCCCCTCACAATGGGTTTCTCTGCTGCTGCCAAGCCAGCATTTCTGAAAAGCCCCACTGAAAAGCAAGTTTCACTCTGGATATGCAAACCTAGCAAACAATACCTTAATAGGGAAGCGAGAATATGTGAGTGAGCTGCAGCACCAACTTTGCACACCAACAGCAATAAACATGCTGATCATTATTTCTGTGTTCATGCTCCATCCAAACATCCAACAACTAAAAACTTCCAGAGCTTTAGGTCTTCTTCAGAAAACAACTGGGTTTCCAAACTGATGTTGGCACCAAGTCTTTTCAGTGGTAAGATAAAAAACAAAACAAAAACAACCAGAACAAAACCAAAACAAACCAAGACATTTTAAAAAATGCCCTGTGATTGTACTGGGCTAAGTCTGGAGAATTCAAAGTAACATCAAGTGGGGCTATCTGAAGAGCATGGAATTTCTCCAGGGTTGGAAAATTCAGAGCACAGAGCATCACTTACACCCAGAAAGAGCCACAGCCTACACCATGCAGCAGGCTCTGGAGAGCTTACCTCCCAGCAGCCAAACACAGAGCAGGACTGGACTGGTTTAACTCACATGAGAATCTCACCTGGGAAGCAATGAGGTCTAAAACACAGCAAAGATTTCAAAAGAAGTCATAATCTGGGGTGTCCTCAATCACTTCCTATGAAATAAGCATTCTGGTTTCAGTCACTCAGAACAAGGTGGCACAGCTGATTTCATTACCCTTGTGTGAAAACTAGTGGAGAATTGACCATGTATTACAGACTTGCTGGGCACAAACCAGGATTGAGTGAAAAGACAAGCACATAAGTCTTCTGGCATCAGCACTACAGAATTTATCTTTATTCTACATTTATTTGAAGCAAAGAAGGGGGGAAATAATTTTGAAGGCAGATCTTACTCTTGAAGAGTCAGCAACTGAAAAAGTTTCTTTCACCATAACTTCAGCCAGACCACATAGGACAGCATTAGTAGATAAAATAAATGTTTCTTTTAAGCACTGATGATATGTAGCTGTTTTCTATTAGAGAAGTTTGCATATGTTGAGGGTCTAGTGCTGCAATAAGTGACAATTCCACAATAAAATCCCAAAGTGATATTCACAGTAGCTACTCGTGAACACAACTAGAAAACATGTGTCCTCCATGCTGTTGCATTATCCACACAACTGCAAGATATTTGTGGCTACAGAAATAATTAAGAAAAAAAACTAGAGCACAAAAAATAGGCTAATCAGTTCAACATACTGTCTGATGGAAGTAATAATTATAGATATGTTTGCCAATTTAAAAAAGCCCACAAAGTACAATGGTAAGTAGACTCTTACCATTGAACAAAGAGGCAGGGAAAGAAAAAAAAAAAGACAACCAAAGATGTGGAAGAAAACTGAGGTAGAAGAATAAATAAAAAATCAACTGAAAATTCAAAAGTCTCCTTCTTCTGTTACTGAACTCTCTCAACCCAGACAAAATGTCTCCAATTACAGACCAAGCAAAAGGTTCTGTAACTGAGCAGATGTGACTACATGACTGAGGAATTAAGGATATGGCTCCCCACTAGTTTCTTCTCTCCTCTGATGTCTCATCAATCAGAAAAAAAAAAAATCTTTATTGTGTGTTGAAATAGGCTAACAAGCACCAACAACCAGCACGGTTCTGACCAGATTTTTGTAGTAATTCTACATATGCATACATATACATATGAAACAAGTTCACATCCACCAGATCAAAGGAGAAATGCCACTTTATATCATCCTTGCTCATACATGTTGGTTCAGTTATCTTTTTTGGCATCACTGGTTTTTCCACCCAGAGCGGGCAAAAGCCAACACTGCATTTTGCCACGTGAGAGACAACAATGAAAGGAGGGAATACAAATAAATATGGGAAGGTAGTAAGGAGCTGTTGTCATAGCTCCCAGTGCTTGACAGTTCCTTAGCTGATGGAAATTTTGTCCTTTTTCCTGCCCTGTGTCAAGCCTTGAAAGCAGATTCTCTTCCTGTACAGTATATTCAGCGTTACCTGTAGACAAATGCATAAAAGACTTCCCTAAGGTCTTATGAGTCTTTATTTTTAGAAACAGCCAACCTAAAAATCAGAACTGAGAGCAGCAGAGATTATTTAAAAGAGAGGCAGGTCCACAGCAATGTCCTCAGATTAAAGGGGATCCTGAAATTTAAAGGCTGAGGAGAATCATACTAAGTAGCCTCAGCCTCAGAGGTGTAACCTCTTCTGCAGTAACTCCTATGGAAACCTTCCTTCCCAAAGCAAGCACAAAACCCCCATTGTACAGAATGAAAGGTTTTTAAAAGCACTCTGTCTTGTGCCCAAGTAGGAACAGGCAGAAATCTGTGCACAGAGCACTGATCTCCGTTTTTTCTCACCATACCCACCTAATTTGCAGTAGGGGGGATGTCTGCTGGGGTCCCTGCTCTGTCCCGGGTGCCTTCACGCCCCACAAAAGAGCACACCGCATGCAGGACGAGCGCTGTTACTCTGACACATTTATTTCTCAAGTACTCACCCACAAGGAGCCAGAGAACTACTGTACAACCTTAGAGCTTGGATCTGTCTACCTGCAAGCTGTCATTGACAGCTGATCAAAACGCCTGCATTTCTCTCCTTTCTCTGCCACGGAGGTTTTGCTGAGATGCAAAAAACACCGAGTGTCAGGGGTCTCTCAAAGCATCCAAACCCGACATGGACATCGCACACGGTGACATTTTAGCATCTCTGCTCCAAAGCATCTCTTCCCGCATGCGGCGCGTCCATCACGCCCTGCCGCCGCCGCCGCAGCCTCCTCCCGAACCGCAGCCCACCCGCACAGCCCCGCGGCACCGGCGGCGGAACCCTTTCCCGGGAGGGGCTCTCGGGGGTGTTCCCGGGAGGAATCCCGAGGGAAAGGGAGGGAGAGGGGCCTCCCAGCACCTGCCACGGGAAAACATGCGATGCCCCCGCGCCGCTCCCGCCATCCCCGACATCGACCCACGGCATCCCGCATCCCGGCCCGCTCTGCAGCACAGCGCGGGGAAGCCGCGCCTCGCCTCGCCCCGGCTCCCGCCGCCCCCCCCGGGCCCCCCCCGCCCCCCGCACCCCCCGCGCCCGCCGGTCCCGCACGGGCATCCCCCGCCGGGCCCCGGCCCCGCTCACCCGCGGCGCTACGGGCGGCGGTCTCCGGGAGGGCGGGCGGGCAGCGCTCTTCGGCCGGGCATCGTGGTCCGCCCTCCGCCGCGGCGGGGAGGGCCGGCTCCGGGACTCCCTCCCTGCGCCGCCTGCTTCCTCGTCCTCCTCGCCCCTTCCCTCCTGGATCCCCCGCAACGCTGCCCGCAGGAGAACAGGCTCCGCTCCTTCCCTCCGCCGCTCCTCCTCTGCTTTCCCGGGCACCGGACCCGGCTCCAGCCCCCGCCCGGCGACGGGGCGGAGGGAGGGGACAGGGGCCGGCCAGGAGGGGCGGGCGGAAGGGAGGGGAGGGGGAGCGGGACCCCCAGAGCCGCTGCGGTTTCCCAGCTCGGCCCTTTCCCCGCGGCAGTCCCCTCCCTGTGGGCTGGAGCAGGGTCCGGCGTCCGGGGACATCGCTACCTGCCTTCGGCGGTGGCCGGCGGACGCCGGAGGCAGTCGGACATCTCTCCCGGTTGCTCCTGCCCTGGTCCCGCTGCGGGGAGCACGATGCCCCAGGGGCTTCGCTGGCGTCACGGCAGCAGGAGTGCATCGGGGGCAGAGGAATGCGATCCGGGTGATCCGCAGCGGTCACCAAGGTTGTGACCGCTGCGGGTGTTGGTGCTCCAAATTCCCGGGATACCCTGGGTTAGAGGAGCCCTGCAGCCTGGAGAAGAGGGGTGACCAGTGGAGTGGGATGCAGGTCCTGGCGTTGGCAGTGCTGGCGTTCTGCCTTCACCGTGCCTCGTGTAAGGCACCGGGCAGGACTGCAGCGCTGCTGCACCATGTTGTTGTCCCGAGCCCTAAAGCTCTTCATGGCTCTGTCCACCTGGGAGCCGGGTACTGAATTCAGCTACCAGGGTTCTGAACTCATGGTATCCAACAAAACCTTGTCCTCAACAAACTGCCTTAGGCACTCAGAACACAAGGAGTGGAGCTTGTTCTTTCTCTGTCTTAGGCTCAGATTTGCCTCCAACTCACAGATGTGTTTCTATAACTGAGAATGGTACCACCCCAACTACATTCCAGCTACATTCCTAGCTGGCAAGGCAAAAAAAAGAAGTGACCAGGATTTACTCTACTGCAAATGAGCACAGAGTCCTGGCTTCCCACAAGTGTGTGGCATGTTCTTGTCAATATGCCTTAAGTGTAAAACTGGGAAAAAAAATAGCACCCACAAGCTAGAGTAAATCATGCCAACATAATTTTATATGTGGATCAATGGAATTTAATTCCTCAGCTGCCAAGATACCTTGCAGAAGTGGTTTTGGGTATTTATTACCCCAATATTTCATGAACACAGGGCCCATGCCGCATAGCAGTGAGGTTGCCGGAGGCCACCACTAAGCCCAGACTGTGTCTGACCAGTGGGGACCATGGGCCGCATGGGCCAAGGAGCACAGCCAGATGAGTAGTGTAGAGTTATTCACTGAAGGTTTGAGAAGTGTTAAGTTTTTTCTGCTGCAACGCAGAGGAAAACGTTTGCATATCCAAAGCCCTCTTCCTTTGTAAAACACCAGGACCACAGGCACAGCCCACTGAAGAATGAGAGATACCTGTTCATGTAAGCGGTGCAATCAATAGCTTTGGTCTGGTCATACGCAAAGACTGATATTTACCCAAGAGAAAAATCAAATTGTATTAACTTCAGGAATGATAGCATGGAAACTTAACATGAGAATTTCTTTCTTTGCAGCTTTCCGTCCCTGCTTCATTGTTTCTTCCGCCATTTCTTCTCTCCAAAAGAGGCACCTACTGTCCTTGGTGGATGTAGAGGAGGCAGAGAGAAAGCAAAGCACTCACACCTTCCTGCTCTTTCCCTACTTTATGCCATCACCAAGCCTAGTAGAGGCAGAGCAGGAAGGCATGATTTGTTTTCCTCCTGCTTTTTGGTCATATGGATTTCAGACCCACTTGTCATTTTGGGGAAGCTCAGCTGGGCATGAGGTTTTCTTTCCTAGTGTAGTTGTTGCGTGGCTTTTGTGGAGCTACAGCAGTAGCAACAAGGGCTATTTTTAGCCTAAAGTAGGCCAGGCAGTTCCAGAAGATGTATTAATAAGAGGAATATTTGAAAACAAAAGCAAACAAAAGAGAGAACAAACTGAGAAGTGTAAACACAAATAATCTTTTACCAGAAGCACTTGCTAAATAGTAAATATGAGGAACTGTATTCTCTGTCTCAGGAGACATGACCCCACCCCACAGCAAACAAACTAATTCAGTCTCTCATCAATATGTGTTACCTCCAGAACAATCAAAGTGTCTTGTTTTAGCACCACACACCTGGAGTGGGATTTTTAGAGATGTCCAGTCTGTCAGATTGCAGTATGCATTTGTTTCCCAGAAAAAGCATGCCTAGCCTGGAAGTTTAAATAGATATAAATCTCCTTCTTAGAGATCACTACACATTTATGTTTTGAATCAGAGTGTAGCTGTAGCTGGTGCCCAAAGTGTGTTGCCCAACTTGCTGGGAGAATTCACGCCCACGTTTGTAGTGAAATCCTGTGGGCAACATGCAGCTCTCTGCAGTAGGCAGAAAAGAGGCAAGGATCTGTACTGTAGGAAAAAGATTCATATTTTGCTGCTAAAAGCATCAAATCTTAGCTTTTGATCAAGGATGATTCAGTAGGAGGCATAGGTATCTGTCATCTCCTTTATCCTTGTTGGAGCTTGAAGACTGGATTGCAACAATTCAGCAGTCTGTAAATCTTCATGGAAGAATAAGTGCAGCAACATTCATCACAGACATGTCCTTGCCACATGTACTCACAGAGCTGGTTTTTACCTTTTCCTTTTTTTTTTTAATTCTGGTAGTAGTTGGGTATCTTTTTTTCATTGAGTTCCAGTAAGACATCTCACATTCTGGCTCTAGTTAGAGTCATTCCACTGAAGCCAGTTGCAGAACATGCTGAATGCTGTTTGCTTGTTTGCTTGCTTGAGTGTTTAGGTAGATGCAATCCAGAAATCCAGGACAATCTGTGTCACCATAATCATACATTACTCCATCCAGTATTGTAGTAGGATGCTTGTAGTGACAACATAAGTGTTTGCTATATATAGCCCGCATTTGCTTGCTGCTAATTTTGTGAGACAATTTCCTCAAAAAGCAGAAAGGAACAGCACTTTTTGCTTTATCTAATTGACAAGCCCGTCTCTGTGTCCCCATATGACTTTTTTCCACAGCAGTGTGAATACATACAAACTTTCAGATAAAGCAACACCACAGTTTAGTACGTAAGAATTCAATGTAAGGTCTCACTGTTACTACCTGTCCATAAATTTGTCCCGATAGTCTTTTCAGCTGCAAAAGTATTGACTTTTTTGCATAGCTTTTGGAATCCAGATCAACTTCTAAGTGTTTCACTGTTTCACAGAACAGCCACACCTGATTCAAGCCCACACTTCTTGATGCACAGAGCAAGAAAATGACAACATACATATGCACAGACCAGACTGCAGCTGGAGGATTTGTGTACAAGCCATAGAGGTGAAAAGTTTGCAACCAATATAGAAAAAAAATAGCTTTAGGACTAATTTGGGGATTTGTTGGGGTTGTTTTTTTTTTGTTGTTGTTTTTTTTAATTATTATTATTTTCTTTTTGTTTGGTTGATTTTTACTTTTTTTTAGCTGAATACATTCTGTCTAAGAACACTGCACTTACATAATTATCTTTGCCACATGCTTGTCAGGCAGCGATGATGGGTTACCAATTCTAGCCCTGTCTGAGCAAAATTAGGATACAAGTCTGCAAAGAACTTAAAGCTAAGCATGTGATAGTGATGGCAGGTCAGGTGTCACTCTGGAGAGCAGGGGCTGACTGCCACAGAGCTGGCAGCGAATTGATGCTTGGCAGATTGGTTTTCACTACGCTTTATTTTCTCCTGCTGTCTTGAAATGACATTACACGCACATCCCTAATTGCTAGCCAGAGATTTAACCATATCACTGTTTTGGTGACAGATGTTCCTGGTTAAGGAAATGCAGTACACTTAATTGTGTAAGTCATCGTAATCTCAATAGCAGAGCACATTGCTGTGTTGTAGAATTACAGAATAATTTGTGTTGTAACAGTCTTTAAAAAACATCTTGTTTCAACCCCACTGCCATGGGCAGGTTCACCTTTTACTAGACCAGGCTCCTAAACTGTAGTACCAAAGTCTCTTAAAATCCAGATTTACATGTTTACCTTATGTCACAGATAGAAAAATCAGTTTCTCTAATTCCTGTGAGGGCCTCAGTGGGCCACCATCACAACTGGAGAATTCCTGGGGGGGACTAGGAAGGAAGCAACATCCCTGACTGGATGTGAAATTCCAAATAATGCACTTTGCTAGGCTGCAGAGGTGCCATAAGAAGTGGTGAATGTCCCATCCTTGGAAACATTCAAGGTCAGGCTGGGCACAACACTGAGTAAACTGATCAAGTGGAGGGTGTCCCTGTGCAAGGCAAGGGGGTTAGAAGGAGGTGGCCCTTGGAGGTCTATTCCTATCCAAACCTGAGATTCTGTAAGCCTGTCTTCACAGCAGCTGGGCTGAGAGGCCAAGCCCACCTGAGTTGAACCGCAGCCCAGGCAAGCCTCTCACGAGTAACTATGAGTGACCTGTAAAATTGCCAAAGTCCTAAAACAGGTCAGGGACGCCTTCTGCCAGACTAATAGTCTCCCAGCCACTGCAGTCTGTGGTGGAATGCTGCTCAGACCTGGGGAGAAGAGATAGTAGCAGAGAAGCATCAAGGATTTCCTCTCACTCTTTGCAGACGAGGCACTGCATAGCTAATTAGTCACAGGAAAATGCACCATCTGTTATGCCAATGTAAGATAACAGTACTCCTCTTCAGCTTCAGGGAGGACCAGCTTCATAAACAACTCTGTACCCAAATCTTCCCTCAAATGGACTCTTTTGGCCACAGGGACGTATGGTGTGAGCTGCTGTTTTTCATTAAACACTCAGTAGGCTAAATGCAAAGACCAGTTTCTTATCGGACATCAAAGGAGTCAAGTAGAATACACAAGTTAAAGCCCACGGAGAGGGAATAGACTGATTTCTGACATGTCACACTGCTGCTACAGGTACGAAAATCCTATTACTGCAGAAAAAGTCTTCACCATGGAGAAGATTAGCAGGGAATGGGAACAAAGAGGGGTGTGTATATAATGACTAACACACCTTGCAGTGCAGAGAATAATCCAAATTATTCACTCTTGAAGGAGTGAGGGACCAGCTTTCTCCTTTTCAAC